GGTTGACTGTCATAATCCACATTCTAATGTTTTTTCTTTACCCAAAACTGACCAAACTACAAGGGACAAGAGGATGAAATTTATTTTTAATGACGCTGTTCCAACAACCATCTCAACTTGCTCAACGTTAGGTGTCTGCGCTAAACATTTCACAAAATAATCTTTTACAAATTTGGGGCAATATCAGGCGAAGTTGGCATCGAAGCTACGTTTGGAAAAAGGTGCCATTCCAACAATCAGGGACTTGCCTGAATTTGAAACGGTAAGACTGTGTTTTTATTACTATATTTTGTGTAACAAACAGCAGCTAACTACTAATGCGGTTAATGTATGTGATAAGGATAGATACATTTAAAAAACAGTCAAGAATTAATAAACATAAAGAAAAACATAACGTTACATGTCTGCAGATGAAAATGATTAAATATCTAAAAAACCACAACGTCAAAAAAGGCAAAAACAACACATTATAGCAAACGTTAATCTCTATAACCACTGTAAGCTGAAAATAAAGTAGACTACATCTCCGTTAATGTAATCTACATTAAATTAAAGCTAAACTTATGTGGGAGAAAATAGCAAAAAAAAACGTTTTAGCTCGTTACTGATGTTAATGTATGTCTCAGTCAAAAAAATTGTCTTTACCATTCAGAGACATGTTGATGTAGACGTCCTTCAATTGACTGTTGTTCCTCTTCCGTTTCCAGCTCTGGTTCAGAGTCTGGCTCAAACATATACGGTTGAATCCCGTAGGTCGCGGCCGGGTCGGGTTCATTAACAACTTGCGCCATGATCTCTTTTTGGAATGATATGCTGAAGTTACCTGCGGTGTCAAGCCCCCTCCTTCCTACCACCAATCAACGCGCCCCTCATTTGCATTATTAAAATGACCGTCCACGACAGCCAAAACCTCGCATCAGATCTCGCGAGACAATAATGCATTCAGAAATAAGGGTCAAACGAGCTCTGTGTTTATTTTTTTCCAATTTTTCTTTTTTAGAAGGGCATGAAATGACTATAATAGAGCGTGGGTATCAAAGTTAATACTACATTATGACTCCTTTAAAAAAAAATCATGTGGCAAACGGATTGTGCACAAACTATCATGTTTTTTTTTTATAATTAAAATTAGTTCATTATTTTAAAATAGTTTAATTGAATATGAATCCAATAGAGGATGTAAAAATGTATGATTTTGATTGTGGAAACCAGTCGAGATGGTCAAAACCTCTGAGGTGAGACAGGCCAAAAAACACCATTCTAGGACAATTTTATAATTCCAAATATTTTGGCCTCAAAATATTGGAATTGTGCCTGTTTTTTTTTTTAGGACATTGCTAGAACCAATACTGAAGATCCCCCGTTTTAGCTACATTTATGAATAATGTTTAATATCTACCAACTGAGATGTTCCTCAGTCTATCTGCATGACTTCATTTGTATGTGTTGTTGTATTTTTGACAGAAAAACCAACAATAATTTAATTTGAGCGGAAACTGCACTTCCAGTCACATATAATTGAATGTTAAGTTTGACAAGCTAGACATGGAGAGTTGACATTTCCGTGTGAGCGCTTGTGTCACTGCGGTATGTTTTTGTTTTGTTTGGACTGAAAAACTGTACAAGGCTTAAGCAACGGGTTTCTCATGTCTATTGTTCTGTGTTCCACTATGTGGCCTGTGGAAGTTTAAAACATTGATTTTCATAATTTGTCTTAATTTGACTGTTTCTGAAGTTCATGTTTGCTGAAGATTTTTGAAAACAGGCTGTTAATGAAATGTTTATCCTTGTAAAATCTGAAAAAGGATTATTGTCAGCATGCCAAACAGATGCACACACAGATCGTCCATAGACATGCACTGAATGAGCATCTAGTATAAACTGCAATTCATTTGTATTCCAGACTCTTTGTATTCCAGAATAGGTTATGATGTTATACAATGCAGCATCCTAAAATAGAAGTGGAGTGTACGGTTATCTCCACTGTCAAGTGTTGACATAAGTGCATGAGGCTGAACTGGGCTGTAGCTGTTTACACTAATCAGGCCTGTCCTGCTAAGCTCGTTTGTTGACTCTTGTGTCAAGAGACCATTGGTTGAGATTAACATTCTCTCATTCTCACCACATCCAACTCAGGGCTAATGCTGGATTCATTTGTTTGTGTCTTTTTGGCTCCAGGCACACACGCCAATGAGTTTTGATGCAGAAACCCAGTTGGCACTTGTAACCAATTAGACAGTGTGAATAAAATGTGGGAAAAGTCTATATATAATACCAGTCAAAAGTTTGGAATAATTAAGATTCTTTTAAAATGTTTTTTTTTTAAAGCCTCTTCTGCTCACCCAGGCTGGATTTATTTGATCATAAAATACAGTAAAAAGGTAAAAATGTATGTAGGCTAATTGAAGCCATGCTGTGAAATTCCTTTTATACAACAGTTCGGTGGAACAATCAAATAAATACATAAATAAACAGGGAAAAAATGTGCAATTCTTATATATTATACTTATATATTGCTTCAACTGAAAAATAAACCCCACACAAAATAGTCAAAATGCCTGTTTTTGGTGAGTATCCTCGTGAGCAGATTCTTAAATGAAGGTCTTGAACATAAAGAGTTGGGAGAAATCGGATTTGTGACAGCAGCCTAATAAACCTGCTGTATCATTAATGTTAATCAAAGAACAAAACACAGAATAACACGCATTGCTCTTGACTGAACAACATTTGTAGCTTAATCATTTATATTTCATTTATACAGTGAAGATAATGATTATTCAATTTCTGTAATGTCTACTGTTAGACATATACCAGAAAACTTTAAACCACATTTTATTTAATTTGTGTCTTTGTTCTATTGCTTTATATGTGGTATCAGTTGTAATTTGTTCAATTGTTCTTATTGTATTAATGACTGTTTACTTGACTCTAAAAATGGTTTTAACTTGTTTGGCTAGTTTTGTTTTGGAATTGAGGCTTTTTTAAATTAGAATTGAGAACTATGTAAAATGTAGGTGACAAACTAATTGATTAAAATACAAAGTTACATGGGTCAAAAACAGCGAAAATAATACAATTTACTAATTTGTTCCCCATAAATTGAGGAAAAAAAGGGACAGCAGTAACAGAAGGTGAGATATATATTGTAGATTTTGCATAAATTGTAACTAAAACTACCACCACCCCCCACCTCCACTGTTTTAGGTATGAGGTAAAGGGCATTAATATGAGCTTTACTAATAAACAGCCACTATGCTAGTAATATGCATGCTAATTAGCAACTACTTAATAGTGAATTAAAAATGTATTCCTGTTAAAGCTGAATTTTCAGCGTCATTACTCCAGTGAAATGCTCTAATGTATGTTAGTGCTCTTAAATGCATTGCCTCTCATAAATCACTTTTTTGATTACCCACTTCTGGAGTGATGATTTATTGTAATTGGAGGGCAGGAGGGAACGGTAATAAATGTCTGGCTAGGCTCTTCCTCTAGAGCTTCCACGTCCATCTTCTGGCTGAGCGTCAGAGTCTCCATGAACTTGACAGCTTAGCGAGAGGCAGGGCGGCTTCTGCAATGGAATGGGCCTAAAAGGTGTTTTGACCTGGACACTAATCTGTGACAAAAACCAATATCCGGGGGATGATTTAAAGGAAATGAGCTGAAATCCACTTGATTGGATTTTATGTTGCAGGATTTTTGTAGAAATGTTTATTGTTCAATCACATTTAGAGGATGTTAAACCATAAAAATGAAATCAAGAGGAATTTCCCAAATAGCTACTTTATTTTAAACAACAACTGTACAAAATACATATACAAAACATGTTTTAAAACAGCAAGAAAGGCAATTTAAACACAAAACAAATGTTACCACCATACACATTTTTTTTTTGCTTACATCACAACAGCTGTACATTTCATCATATAAAGTGTTCACTGATTATGAGAAAAAGATATTTTAATTGTTAGGTTAAAATTTCACATTACAATCCATGTTCACGCGGGTATTTTACAGCAACCAACTACTGAAAACTACAGATAGAGAGCTAAAACATGTGTTTTTTTTCTCAAGGTATTAAAACAAGGCATTTACAGCATAAACTTGTAACACTTTACAATAAGGTCTCATTTGTTAACATTAACTAACATGAACTAACAATGAGCAATACATTTGTTACAGTATTTAATTATTCATCTTCGTTAATGTTAGTTCAAAGTGCATTAGTGTTAACAAATACAACTTTTGATTTAAATAATGCATTAGTAAATGTTAAAAAAATTATCTAAGATTATTAAATGCTGTAGAAGTATTGTTCATGTTAACTAATGAAACCTTATTGTAAAGTGTTACCTATAAAACAATTGTTAAATTACCTTCCCTTAAGTATACCACAAAGATGCAAATGATACAGACATAAACATCTAAAATGACTAATTATTTTCATCTCCTTCATAATTTCGCAGTGAACTATCTGCTAAAATTGAGCTCTGCTAGGAAATCAATGCCACTGTGAGAAAACAGCCTCAGCTGATGATGCTATTCACAATATATGTGACAAAAGCAACAGACGCATGTTTACTCTGGTTTTAGACTGATAAATGTGGGAAGTGGGTGTCAATCGTGGCTTGCTGAAATCCTAAAGTTCAGGACTTGAATCTGCAACACCCTTAAATCTAGTGTCAGGGTTAGGTGTAAAATGATGATTTGAGACTCGGGTCATTTTATACTCCTTGGGCAGAAATTGGGCAGGATACTTTAGAGTCACAATTGTAAAACTGAGCATACAAGTGAAACCGAGAAGTAATCAACTGCCCATTTTTTTTAGAGTGCAGTGTGAGTATCAATTTGACACCCGTTCTTGGAACAAGTTTTCCAGAGTGATGATTTGGCAGTGATGCATGTGGTTGTTGCCACAGTGACCACAGTAGTGCTTTGAGTCCACAAATCTTCAGAGTGGAAGTACCAAAGAATTCACCCCTGAGCTCACACACTCAATCACATCCAAATCTACCATCAGCATCACCCTTTCATGTTCAATCAACCATTCAATTGTCTGTCCATGATTGCTATAGGAGCATCATGGCACCTGCACAGGACTGGAATGGGGCCTATTTTGGTCTTCAGCCGACATACTCTAGTTTGGAAAGTTATGAATAAATCTGCAAATTAAAGTCTGTGATTGTCAAAATGCTGTTTTCATGTGGCCACCACTCCAGGCTACTCTGAGGCACTGTGAAACTGCTGACACTGCAAATGAAGCAACCCAATCAACACAAACCAATGAGGAGCTAAGCACTTGCCAATGTGCCTTTACAAGCTGGCGAGGACTCTTTAAATGACAACCTCTTCCTCTCGGGCAGGAGCTCTTCGGCGGCTCCGCGGATGTCGTCCAGCTCTGTGGTGTAGTGGTCTGGGCTTTCTCCGTTGGAGGTCTCCTTGATGACACTGTACGTGAGGGCCACGCTGTAAGTGGGGGGCTTCTCGGAGCGCTGGGGCCCGCAATGGCACAGTTTTTGGAAGGCGGCGCGAAACTTCTGCGACATGGCATTGTAGATGATAGGGTTGATGGCGCTGTTCATGTAAATGCAGAGACGGCAGAACAGAAGGAACCAGGTGTCCAGATAGGCGTCCTTGAGGAAGGAGTTGACCACCACCAGCGTCCGATAGGGCATCCACAGCAAAGCAAAGAGAATCACCACCACTGCCAGCATCTTTGTCACCTACAGCAGACAGCATGACAGATGTTTTTAGTTATTGTATGTAACTCTCTGATCCCTCATAATTGCATTTTTGAAAACCAAAATCCTCTTTAATCTCATTCTACAGATCAACATAATTATATTAAGGTAACACAGTGTCCTTGCTACATGTTACATGTACTTACCATAGTAATAACAGTAAATTATGCATAATTACATGCAACTAACCCTCAACCAAATCCTAATCCATCCCTATAGTTCATTACTCAGTGCTTACATATATATATTTTACACTGTAACAATGACACCTTAAAATAAAGTGTAACCTATATTATACTATATGTATTATAAGCCTCAACAGTGTTTAAGTGAAATATGGGTTTTGCATTTATTGTGTAGCTACCATTAATAACTTTACAACATTTATGTTGCTCCTTTTTTCAATGCAACTAATTAACGTGTAAGATCAAAGTGTGAATGTCTGTGAAAATGGGTGACATGTTAACTAACAGGATACCTGTTTTCTAATTAAAGCATGCTCATTTTAATTTACCACTCAATCTTAGCCTTTTTCAACAGTATAAACATGATTATCACGGTACAGCTGTTGTATTGTTTGCCAGATTGTTTGCCAAATGTGTTAACACACCATAACATGTCATGGTTCATTTATGGAAAACACATTTGTAGAGCCTGAGCAAATTCATAGCTTAAAGACTGATTTTATAAAGGTCATAAGAGGCTATGTGTCTCTCCATGTTGGACAACCAGGCAAAGAGCCTTAGGGCAACACAAGTGCAGTCGTTCCGAGTTCATCAGATGGCGCCTGGCTTCACTATGCATTTGGACCTTTACCTGCTCGAGGCTATGTGAGCCGTGAGCCGTCACAACAAAACATCTTTTTTTTTCAAATAGGCTAACTGGCAAACGCCTGATGTGTTCTGGTTCGGGGTCACAAATGTTTCCTGCACTACCACAACACCGCTACCGAATCAACAGCGCAACCTGCGTAGTCCGTTTCCCGAAAAAAATGACTCTATGCAACGACTCTTTAGTGTGAATCTATGACCAATATTCCGAATCTCGAAAGAATGACTCTAATGAATCGGTTCTTTTAAAACACACATCGCGACCAGAGCCGTTATATTCCCAAATGAATCTGATGAGTTGAATGAGATTTCTTTTTAGCGAATCAAAAACGCGATCAAAATCTCGAACGAATTTGAACGCTAGACGCAAAATTGCTGAAGCGCATGTATAAAGACGTCTCTAAAACGACTTTGAACAACATTTTTGCAATAATTGTATCACATTTACTTCAGATTTGTTGTTACCCTAGATGTAATAAGAAATGCATTTATTTATTTGTGTAGGCTATTCATTAATTAAAAAAAAATCTTCAAATCTTTCTCTAAGTTGTAACTAATCTTTAGTAAATTGAACAGTCAAACCGTTTAGAGGAATTGGAACCAGAATTATTAAACTCCGATTCACATTCCAAACCAGTGAATGCTGCTATAGAACTTATACCGCAGGCTCCCCATGCGCACAATTACGCACAAAGTTATGCGTTAAAATCAACACTTTACCTGTCTGCGAGAAGCAGCAGTCGTGCTGCTGGAGGAACTCCTGGAGTTCCCATGCACGGACGACTGCTTTTTCCAGTTTCTTCGACTTTCCTTGGGATCCAACGGCAATGGGTTGAGGAAAAGAATTCTTGCGATAAATCCGTATAGAACAGTGGCCAGCAAAAGAGGGATAACGTAGAACACTGCATAGTCTGTGAAATATATTGGCAAATACATGTTTCTGGATACTTTGTATGCGCATGTCACGAGGACAGCGTTGTCAAAAACAACTTCTGTCGTGTCGGAAAGATAAAACCACATAACGCAATAGAGGGAAGTTAAAACCCAAACGAGAACAATGATCTTCTTGGCTCTGGAGAGGGTGCACATAAACTGTGCTTTTATCGGGTGGCAAATGGCAATGTAGCGCTCAATGGTGAAGGCTGTGATGGAGCAGGATGACGCGTTGATACCCAGGTACTGAAAATAAGTGATGGAGAGGCACCCGGCGTATCCGTACACCCACTGGCCGCCGAACAGACTCTCGGTGATGTTGGGCAGCCCCGCTGCCGTCAGGACCATGAGGTCGGCAACTGCCAGACTCACCAAGTAACAGTTAGTTGGGGTACGCATGTGCTTGGTCGTTAAGACCACAAGAATGACCATAATGTTGCCAACAATTCCAACTCCACAAATAAGGATCACTAATAAGATGCTCGCGACCTTGTATTCGACAGTATAATCAGTCCATATCGAAGTAGTGTTGTTGTTAAATTTGAATATAGTGCCGTTATCCATGCTCCACTTGTGTTTGTTTCCTTTTTTCCCGCAGAAATCACTTTTCAGCTCTCCAGGACGCGCGCAAAAAGGTCATATTTCAGTATCCCAGAGAAAGAAAATTCAGTAAAGTTAAAATGTCCGTTTTTAATGTCCTTCTGGAAACAAAACACACGCTCCAGTCACAGCAGGCTTTAGACCTCAGAGATGAAAATTAACGTAGTTTCGTTTGGTGCGAAGCCAAGAATGTGTCCGTGGTAATTTGTGTGATATATAAAAATCCTTTCCCTATGTGCATAACTGCAGAGAGCTGACAGAGGTGTTGCACCGCCCAGGGCTGACCAGGCTGATATGGTCTGAGACCGTGGTAACCCTAATACGCGACCGAGAGCGTTAGTAGCACGTTGTGCAGTGCGTAATGCCGAAGCAAGCAAGAGAGGAAGTGTCTGATCAATTATGTGGTTCTCACCTAAACTGTCCCCCAAAAGCGCAATTTCACGTTCTAATTAAAATGTTCCTCTGCAATATGGTTTTTGTTTAAAAGTCAGTTTGCTTTGTTATATCAGAACTGATAGTGCTTCCTTTGACGCAGTTTGTTTCAAGGGGCATGATAAGGTTACAGATTGATCCAAGCCTAGGAAGGCTGGCCAAGTTTGATTTCACCAGCAAAATGCAGGTTTACACCCATGAGAGCCATTATTGAAACTTAACTGAGTCTATTGATGCAGGTCTTAAAGGGCTTAACAGTCTTCTGTGTATTCATGATGAGAGAAAAATCACTGGGATTAATCTATGGGTTATTGTGCCTTGAGCTATGATGTTTAACATATTACAGTTGTTATTTGACATATTGTGACATTATTTGTACAAAAAGGTAAACTGAAATCGTTTTTGAGGAAGTGGAAAAAAGCTATAGCTTTATCTGTGCAGACCTTTTAGCTTTGCTAACATTCAAGTTAGCATGAAACAGAAGTTGTTCTTCCCCTGTGATGTAGCCTATATCCGAGTGAGGCAGCTTTTAAAAAAAAAAAAAAAAAAAAAGTGGGGTGTGACTTGATTTTGTCCATCGGGAATAGAATGGATTGTTGTTTGCTATTGGTTGATCTCATGTGATTGACAGGTTGTCCCGCCCTTTCTCCAGTAAACACATCATCAGAAGAGGAGATGACATTGCAAGTGCGAGGGGAAGATATTTTGATTAAAGATTACGAGGGCACATGAACTTTGTAAAAAAAAAAAAAAAGCTCTGTCATGAAAACTCTGAGTGTTTGGCATGGTAATGGATATGACATTGTTGATATGTTTGGTCTTGGCGGAATAGATCTGCTACGCTGCTGCTTTTGGCCATTGCTGCTGCTACAGAGTAAGTACAGGACTTGCTACTGCCAATACATATATGACACGCTGCTGTGAGCAAGTAAGCCATGCTGCTGCTCTACAATATAGCATACATGAATTACCCATAGCAGATCTATACAGGTGGAGCTGGGGAAGGTGGAGGGTTTCTGAAGGCGTACTGCAACTGCTACAGCAAATGTTGACTAAGTAAGGTTGAGCAGCGAGCTCATTGGCTACTGATACAGAAAGAACCAATCAGCTGTGCCCTATAGAGAATGATGTGATTCCAAACAGATTGAGTTAAGAACTTGTCAGCCTGCGCCATCTAGAGTTTCATTACAGAACTTTGCATATATGCACAGATAAATAAATAAAAATGAACAATGCAATATTCCATAAAAAAAATTTGTTAGCTTTGATTTTTATGCTGACTTTAAGCAGTTCATCAAGGACCAATTGTTTTTTTTTTTATGTTTGATTGAGGCATTTTAGTATTCTTAGATTAGTATTATTTCTTAATGTGTTGTTAAATCTTTATCAAAAGCATGACAGTGTCATTCATGTCACAGAAAATAATTAAATAATTTTTTGACAGCTTTTGTGCTCTCTCGAGACTTGACACCGATTGCTTTATATTCTTGGGAAGAGTAAATAACAGAACTTTACAACTGTCAAATCCTCTGGATTTATTAGGGTTTCTTTTTGTTCTTTTTTCTTTATAGGCTACATTTTGCCTCATGAAATATATTGCAGAGAGTAAGTGCTACAAGTCATTTCTCTTTTTCCATTCTGCGAAGGTCAGGTCTATTTGTAGAGGGGGTGATATCTGACGGCCATAAAGTCATAATCCATTATGGCCACCTTAAAAAAAATCAACATTTCAGTAGAGGCTTTAATCGCTCTAGACCTTTGGAAGTGTATACACAAGGCTAGAAAAAAAGGAAGCAAGATGTGACAAATTTTCTGATTTATTATTGTTTTAAAGTTATATAATGCTGGGTTTGAACAATATTTTGGCAACCATAAATTATCTTCATATAGCTGATCACCCATTACCTAACGAAAATGTTTGACTTTTCACATTCTGATTTGTACGATTAGTGTTGCACTGCCATCTAGTGGGCATTTTGATTGAGCACACAAATAGTCCCCAACAGTTTTTTTTTTGCATTTAATTGCAGATTCTAGAACTCTTTCTTACTCTCGTGATTCATTAAGAGAAATGTAAAGCAACTAAAACACATTATTATTTAACATTTCATTATTAGGAGCATGTTATAATGCTTAAACCGCCTTTAACAGATTCACAACAGTTATTTGTCCTCAACTGAAAATGCTGTTTCCTGTAACATAACTATGGTCAAGAATCAAGACACATTTTGGAAGATTTTACATTGCATTTTGATTTGAATCCCCTAACAACTCCTTCCCACTTTATCTCAACTCAACTCAAACTATGGACAGAAAAAAAATACTGTATATATGATGAGATGAATCAAATCTGCAAGCTATTGTTTGGCAAATCTCTCCTCAAGAAAGAGACAAAGGAGAACATATTGCATTGATCAAAGTTAGCTTCCTCTAATGGTTCATCACCCAACTTCTAGAAAGACTGCGAGGGATCTAAGAGATAATCAAGCTGAGAAGCAAGAGTTTATGAATATGGGAGCGTGACAAGCATTCATAAAGACAAGGCTGTGATTTCATCGTTTGTTATGGAAATGCAATGAATAATTCATCATCTGCAGGACTGTATGATTCATTCGTTCTCTAATTGAATTTGATTTCAGCAAACTTTCGAATTTAAAACACAAAGATGTTGTTCTGCTTTTAATCAGATTCAATGCCAGCAAACCACTCCAAGCTTGGCAGCCGACATCTCAAAGGAATAAATAACATTTCTGGCTGCGACTCAGGACTATCTAATTTTTCTAATGACAAGAGCCCGTTTCTACATCTCACCTTGCATGTCTCCCATCCGAAAGGCCGTGGACACAATGAGGTGAAACTAGTCATTCCGTGTGTTCTCGTTATTGGCTTCAAAGAGAGCCAGTTCATTTTAGAAAAATTAGATTGTGTAGTAGGTGGTGACAGCATCGACCAATCAAAACTTTTTAATCAAATTAAATTTATTACAATACCTTGTTCAAGGACAATGGTGCTACTTCTTCGTCCATGATTTAAGTACAGTTTAGATTCTCAACTCTTATATTATAAAACCTTTTTGTCAATTAAAAATCTGGGATAGTGTAAGTTGTGTTTTTATGATTTTACATGGACAGGGATGATGAGCTCATATTATGATAATAAAAAAACATTTTGATACCAGTGAGTCACTATTTTTGTTGACCTTCAAAGATGTTTAATGACTAAATGACTGTCGGTCATTCTGTCTCCATCTCTTGCTTTCAGCACTTTGCTCCCTCTCCACATGCCCTAAAATGTATATCTTAAATGTATTTAAGAGGCTTAAGAGTTTAGATGGGTCTTTGTCAGAGTAATATTCCTGTCCTTAAAGAGCTTACAGATATACACCTCCTTATCCGAGGCTTTATTCAGAATAGTATATATTCTTTATTGCTGCAGAATAATACTGTGCTCACTGTTTCTGTATGCAGACTTGCCCCACAATACAATGTGCTCTCAACTTAACTTTCAATTTGCGTGATGAATGAACCGGTATATCAGCGATTTCTCTTTGACTTTTATTTTTATTGACTAATTTAATCATCTGACTTGCAAAATTGCATTAAAAAATGCTAAATAATAAGATAAAAGAAGAAAGTTATTTCATTATTATTATATTTATAATTATTATATTATTTATTAATATTTTGGATTAGATTTTATTTTTAGATTTCAATTTAATTTTAGTTCAAGCTTTCATCATTTTGTTATGTGCTTTTGTAATTTTTACTGGTTTTTAATAAATATACATAGCTTCAGTTTATATATTTGTTTGGTTTAAGTTGATCTAATATTTATACATCATTTTATTTCAGCTTTATTTCAAATAATGAAAACAATTTAAAAGGTTTAGTGTTAGTTAACAATTACAACACTGGAGGTCATGTGACAATGTAGCATACTTCTGCACTGTATTCATGCTATTCTATTCTAAACATAGCCTGATATGCTCAACTCTGGATCGCATAACATGTGACCTTGGATCACATGACATGTGACGTGGAGCTCTGTGGGCAGCACCGATTTCAGTCTTACTCTTCACTCAGTTCTCAGGACCAAGGACAGCTCCTTCCTTCCCTACCTTCTCGGATTTGCTTACCTATGCATGCAATACACAAGCGTTTAAAGGTTCGGGTCAGTAAGATTTACTATTTGAAAAGAAATTAATACTTTTATTCAGTAAGGATGCATCACATTGATCAAAAGTAAATCAATGTAAAGACTTTTACATTGCTACAAAAAAAAAAAAAGTAATAATGGTTTCCAAAAAAAATTGGACAGCAGAACAGGACTGATAATAATAATAAATGTTTCTTGAGCATCAAATCAGGATATGAGAATGATTTCTGAAGGATCATGTGACACTGAAGACTGGAGTAATGATGCTGAAAATTCAGCTTTGCCATGACTAAATTACATTTTAAAATATAAAAGTTCTTTTAAATTGTAATGATATTTCACAATATAACATATTTTACTGTATTTTTGATCTGATTTAAATACTAATACTAAAAATTCACAATATTACTGTCTTTATTTTTGATTAAATGCAGCCTTTTTTTAGCATAAGAGACTTAAGATAAAAATCTTACCAACCTCAGAAACTGTATAGTGTACGTGTCGTCATAATAGTCATCTGAAATTTCAAAATCAATCCAAAGATTTGTGTTTGCATAACATGCACACCTGGTCAACAGGTACACAGGTCAATTTATATTCCAAGTTCATTTCTTGTTGAGGCTGAAGGCGGTGACGATATACTAACCTCAATGACAGAGATTGTCAGACAAGCGCCATCCCCTGGTTTGACTCTTAGTTCTGAGAAACACACTGCCTTGCAGGTTCCTAAAACAAAGAACCAAACTTAACACTTGTTTGTTCTGTTCCACTCTAAAATGTAATAAACGATCATTACATTTTATTCAGGGCTTTTTAATCTTTCGTTTTGCCTTTATTTAATAGAGATGCAAGAGCAAAGCTATGTGACTGCAGGCTTGTAGCTGCTGTGTGATGTTATTTTGCAGCTGGCTACGTGTCACCCTATGCCTGTGTAATCACCTTGTCCAAACAACATGAGGATAGACTGACGAGCCACAGGGTGCCTCTGTATTCCAAGGTGACGGTTGATACCCAAGGCTCTGAAACTCAATTTTGTCCTTGGCAATGCATGCCGGATTGGCTCAGCTGGCCGCTGACGGTATGGAAATCTCAGAGGGGTGTGCAGCGAAATAAGCTGTGCACCCTTATGAGACTTCCACCCTGTTGAAAATAGTCCAAACTGACTGGAGCATGCAGCTACTCCACCTATGTTCATAACGCCAGCAGTGACAGATGGGAATTCATGACTGTGCACCTCGTACTCCCTGAGCTGAGCCTCCGCCAGCCTGGGACATTAATCTCTGGCTGAGTAAGCCCCACTTCTCTGCAGACTCATCTGTTAAATAGGAACTTGCCTGGCCTTGATCCGAAGTCATCCTTTGTATTGGTGAACACAATAGCACGTATCTGTTGAAATAAAATTGATTGTTGTCAAGAGGAGAACTGCTGATAAGGGGTTATTTCTGACTACGCCTTGAGAATGTTTGAAATAGCCCTAAATCTCAACGTGATGTTTACAAATTATGTAAAGGTATTGTCTCATTTAGAAGAATATGAGCTGATATGGGCTGGTTGTGGCAGAGTATTAAAAATAGATTACATAAATCTTGCTCAAACTGACCAGTAATCTTTCAAGCTTCTAAAGGACCACAGCAGATGGTGGTGTAGAATAGGTGTGGTTTAGCACAGTCGCTGACTCTTACTGGTCGTAGTAGAAAAATGTCTCCAGGCTGTACCGTTTCCATCAAGGTGGTGATAATTACTTTTCGCTTCCGAGAACCTGATTTCACATGGTTCCAATACAATTTTCAACCTGTTATGATTTACTTGACACCGCAAGAGTGATGGGAGAAAATCACTACCGGAAGAAAATGTACGAATCTTACTATGGCGAAGACTTGGTTGTTAATATTCATAAGCGGTTTGCTTCGCCATTGGAACGTTAGCAAGGAACGTCTGCAGCACCTAATTGAAATTCAACAGCCAAGCATTCGCTATAAGACGGTAACTAAGGCACGTCAGCACTATCTTATTTATATTCATACTCAAACTCTTCCCAATTGGAAGATTACCGAGAAACGTCACTCTACCTGATGAATATTCATGAAAGGTCCTTTGCCATAGTAGAATTAGTAATATCGCTATGAAGAGCTCAGTTCATCTTTAAAACGGAGCGTGGGAGGGAGAACGGTGGAGAGCAAAAGCCGGGAGGCCAAAATGTTCATCAGACGAGAAGGTACAAACAATAATTGATTATAGCAAACAAACGGTGTGATTTGCGTCTAACGTTAAATATAGCGAGATGCGAAATGTGTCCTGTTTGTGTCGCTTTCTCTATGGGATATTGTATGACCTATTGATGAGTATAAGTTAACGATGCAGCCTGATGGACACGTGCCAAAACTACTGCATATGTCCGTTTTAAATCGATGTTTATTGCGTAAACAGTGTAACGTTTTAGCTATTGCAGATGTGATGATTTGTTGATGACTTTATTTCGATTAGCATATAGCCCATTATTCAGTTTGATACATTTTTATACTGATCTTCGCACTTTTATAGTTTATTGGTTATTTTTTTTCTTTAATAATAATTCTAAAGACGAAAATGTATTTAGATAGAGTTCAAAACAAATTTGCATAAATTAAATGACAAATTAAAATAATATAAATATAGGATATTCAAACATTTAGGCTACATGTAAAAGTATCTGTTCTGATATCGGCCGTAAAAAAAAAAAAGATCATGATATCGATCTCTTCTGTGAAGTGCCTATATCCCTATATCCCCATCGTCCGTTAAGTCGTGCGTTTAAAAGGGACTTATAGCTTATCTTGGGTTTTATACGGATTGCTTTGCTAATTGGATATTGAAGCAGTAGGACTAATCAGTAACTTTAATCGTCTTTCTTTAAAGAGACGAGGGATTTTTGTTCAAATACAGTTATTAACTGTTGCTAACCCATTGTAGTGTAGGCTACATAAATGGGTTACCCATGAGTCACAGTTGTGAGCATAAGTGAGGTGTTACAAAAATGCTTGTCACATAGTATGTGATGATAGTTATATAGTTTGCCAAGAGTAAATATGAATTTGAACTGTATGCAACAAAGGTAAAATACAAGGCCACGCGCAATATTAAACTGTTATTATTAACGAATATTTTTTATAGTAGTATGCTATTTAGTTATCATTGTTTCAAAAGTTGAAATATACAAAAAATGTGTTCTTCATATTGGCTATCAGCCATTTAAATGTACAAATAACTGGTATTATTTGAAAAAAAAATATTGGTCGATCTCACTAGGATAGATTTTGTGAATTGATTGCTCATCTGAATTATTGTAATTTGCGTTTACAGGTATAGTGTGGATGGCTTGATGCAGCAGGAAATCAGAGTGATCCGTGGGAGTGTATCTGATGGCCTCGGTGGAGTTACTCTACATAGATAATAGACGGGCAAGGCCCGATCCCCCTGGGGTACTGGATTGGTCTTCTAGCCCTCTTCATGTTCACAGGCTAAACAGTTCGGTGGAAGAAGCTTCTCCCACTGTGAAGGTGCCTGCCTTTGAGGGACAGTGTAATTCAGCACCAAGGACGGCTCCTCTCAGAGGACAACATGGCCAGCACCGCCATCATCCCACAGAGAAGGTCAGGGTGTGCTGCGACGAGGAGCTGGAGACCTCGTTCACCTACATTGATGAAAACGTCAATCTCCGGTTGGCCACCCCGGACACGAGCGAGAAAAGTGCTCGACGTGCATCTTCGCTCCATGACTCCTCCAGCGAAATCCGTCCCGAGGGCCTCCAGGAGTTGTCGCTGATGTCTGACTTCGATCTCAGCTCGGAGAGTTCGGGGAAATCCATGGATTACGGGTTCATCAGCGCAGTCACGTTCCTCATCACTGGGATCTCGCTGGTGATCATATCGTACACGGTCCCTCGTGACGTCAGAGTGAACCCCGACAATGTCTCCGCCCGCGAAATGGAAAGACTGGAGAACGAGAGCGCCAGGATAGGCGCGCACCTGGACAGGTGTGTCATCGCAGGCCTTTGCCTTCTCACTTTAGGCGGAGTGGTGCTGTCCACTCTGCTAATGATTTCCATATGGAAGGGTGAGATGTACAGAAGGAAAGCCTTTGCTTATTCCAAGCACTCCGCAAAGCTCTACGGTTCGATTAATTTAAGAACAAGATCGAGCCCCAGTTGCTCATCGCCACCCCATAGTTTGGTCGAGGAGGAGAATGGCAATGCCATTAGTTGACTCTTTTCTCCAGTTCTCCATTCATCTCTATTGGACTGCCAACATAACGTTGACCTTTCTAGCATGGCCAAAAGAGCTTGTTTTTTTTTACCTTGAATCGGTGACAGTTGCTTACTGATGCAGAAAAACCTAGTATCACGTAACAGATTTCTCAGGCTCAGCATGATAACATTTGTCATAAAGCAAGTTACTTTTTGGATAAACAGACCAAACTTCAGGTTGTGTGGCAGCAAGTTAAATGAAGTTGCTGATAGTATTCAAACCATTAATCTCCAAGCTGAAAATGTGAGAACCAAAGCTGATTTAGCTAAAGAAGTGAGTCCGGTTGGTTGTACAGAATCCTGCTGCTAATACTGACAATCCCACTGCCTCTTTCTTACTCTTTCAGAAAACTCAAATATTTCACTTGATCCATTTCATCATGGTATGTAGAGAGATCGAGTGCTACAGTCTCTGGTTTGGAGCACTTCTGTGCATTTAGATCCTCAAAAAGCATTGTCCTTTGCAGCACTTCTAAAATTTATTTTTGGGATGTTTTTGCCATTATTTTCTCACATTGTCCTTGTTAGTTCACGTGTGGAACGAGCCATGCAGAAATCTAATACCCCCCACCCCCACCCCAAAGCACTCAAATATTTTATAAATATTTAATGGAGGAAGCTGCCACACAATGATTTGCCATCTTTTGGAAATTTAAATCCATCTCTCTGAGAGAGCAAAGCATAACTCCTGTATCTTCACTCAATACACAGCTGAACCTATAGTGTTGACACAATTGAGAAAAAAAAATCGTCTGTGCTCACAAGATTTATCATAGGAATTACAAATACAATCTATGTATCTCTATCAGTGCATACTCTGATGATAAATGACAGTTTCATTAAACTCATAACTGACTCACTCTGGTATGAAAATAAAATTATATTATTCTTGATTTTGTGTTTCATTGTTTGTGATAAATCATTAGTATGTAGCTATTTGATTGCAATAAGCGTAACCACTTCACCTGAATTTATAATCATGAGTTGGCTGTCTGGCTCTGAACTGGTTTTGTGCATCTTTCTAGGGTTGCACTGCATCACAACGACAAAGAAAAAAAGAAATAAAAAAGTGTCGGTCTCCAAAACATTAGCTGGTCATAAGTTGCATTGGGCCTTTTTGCAAATATTTTAGCTTGAGGGGGCTTTCACACTGGCACTTTTGGTGCGCACCCGGGTTCGAATGACGTCAGAGTTCGGTTCGTTTGGATGATGTGAACGCTGTCTTCCGAACTCGGGTGCGTACCCGCGAACCGTAACGTTACTCGGGTCCGCTTAAAAAGGTGGTCTGGGGTACGGTTCATGTGAACTCCAGGGGCCGGTTGCACCAGCTGTGCGTAAGTTACAACTTAGCCTAGTTTTGACGTAAATGGGCACTAAGTTACAACTTACGCACTACTAAATATTTTTCCGTTGCACCATTAAACTTAGTTTAAACGTAACTCTACGTTCCAACTAAATATTTACGGCAGCTCCGATCAGGAGTAACGGTTGGAATAAAATATCAGACAGACTGAACTGCATCAATAAGCTCTTCTTTTACCTGAGACTTCAATTCTTTAGACATATATGATAATGCTGACATTTACACTCGCATACATTTTAAGAGAGAGAACATTATGTGAAAAGATTACTTTGTTAGCAGCTCTTTAACACGAACCCGTCCTAAACATAGACTGTAAAAAATAGGTAAACAGCGCCGCTGTGTGCATCGGTCCATGTTGTGCATGTCAAATATCAGTCATAATCAATAAACGTAATTTCTTGTTTTTTTGTATGAATATTTATTTATTGATCCTTATTAATTTCATTTCAAATACAGTTTCTGAATGTTATTTATATATAAAAACACTTATGTTATTTATGATCAAGTATCGTATTAAATGGAAACTTATTTTTACCGTTAGTAACGTGAGGCAAAAGAAGTTAGAATGAAGGATAAACTGAAATTCACGGCATTTCAACACAACTTCTGCTCACGTATTTGAAGGCTGCTATTGGTTCATCGAGGCTAAACGTCATATTATGCGACTACGCATTACTTTACGGAGAGTTTACGACCTACTAGCTAAGTTCTACCTTACGAACAAATGGTGCAACGGAATAAAGTACAGAGTTAGTTACAAACTAGCTAGTAGTTACTAAGCCTCTAGTGTGGACTTTACGTTACAATTTAAGAAAGAAGTTACGAACGGCTGGTGCAACCCAACCCAGTACGGTTCGCTGCTGATATGAACGCAATCGAACCAAACCGCGGAAGTGAACCGCTATTGATGACGTATAATGTATAATGTGGTCGACAGGACAGTCGTCAGTGCGTGCGTGTGTGTGTGTGTGTACACTTACCTTGAAGAAAAGCGGGATTGACGCACTGCAAGCAGAGAGATGATTTAAATGCTTGCCTCCGCAACAATTGTCTTTGGCTGACAGCCAGCTGTCTTTGGAACGATTTTAGTAGCCTACTTTTGCGGCAGACTTACCCAAGTGTGTTTCTGTATCTTTTCTTTGAAAACAAAACCAAAGGTTAAAAAAAAAGAACAAATGTGAAGCGAGCAATTCTATCCATTTTGACGCCTTTTCATTCATTGCGGCGCCGGTGTTCTGACGATTCATGCTACCCATCGAGATTTGCTACTTACTGGTTATGCGCATGTGCAGACTCAGTTTTTTTTTAACAAAAGGTACATTTTCATGTGTTATAAAGTAATTTCCCTTTAAAAAATGATAACTACCATATGAATATTTGTACGGTCAGCCAGCTGAACAAGAATAATTGAAAGTTTCAGTTACTAAGGAAAGGTGTGCTTTGACAAGTCAATATTTGATGATAATTTCTACTTTTCACACCGTTTAAAAAATAAAAACAGTAGTCTACAGTATACAGTAGCTACTCATAACTTAGAATTGTATTATAATTGTATTTCATATAATATTAATCGACATTCTGTGATCGATTCGCACTACGGTAGCATTTTTCGACAAGGCAGCACAAATCGTCAGAACACCGGTTACCAAGCAACATGATTACGCGCCAGCTGCAGCTTGATGACGCAGGCGTACCGCGGTTCGGATAAAAAAAAAAAAAAAAGTATAAAAAAAAAAAAAAAAAATATTAAAAAATAAAAATAAATAAAAATAATAATATTTGTGAACACAGTCCATCGGGGGCAGGGGGAGGGGGGAGCAATCGAACTCGGGTTCGGAACAGGCAATGAACCAAGTGTGAAAGCGCCCTTAAACTCATTATATAAACTTTCTGTGTGTTAAACCAGTGCTCTTCACGTTTGTTATCAATATAAAAGTAACGTGTAAGCTTGTAACTGATTGTAATATAATACATGTTTTGATTTACAGGAAAATTAGTCTGCTCATAACATCTTCCTTGTGTTGTGGCAAAAATTCATCTCAAACAAACATCACTGCGTAAGAGACACTCAGAGTCAAATTATATAAAATAGAAGTATTTATTCTTGCAAGAATAGGAGCAGTCTAATACACAGTTGTTACCCTGTGCAGAAAAGTGACACACCCCCAGACAGACTGAACTAGCTTTTATCTTAGTTTCAAGGCCTTCTTCCCCCAGAGCCTTCCTCCCAGTAGTTTTCCATAGATGTCACTAGTTGGCCCACTAAGCTCCCCTGCACCAAATGGCCTTCTGACATCTAGGTCAGAGGTCCTTGTTCGTCTGTTCTCTGGAGTGTCTCCCTCTTCTGCCTCCCCAGGTACATAAACAGAATCTTCTCTCACTACAAGTGAGAGACACACATGTGACATTCTTTGAATCACCTATATTTAACTAAAGATCAATGAATATCATTAAAATTGCCACCACACTTGCAATGAGTAAGATCTAAATATTAGAAAGGCCTAATGAGTCACTGGTAATTGCCCACATTATCTAGGATGGTTCTACCGGCTGTCTCAAAGGGGAATTAAAAATGTTAATAGAATTTATTTTGAAGGCAGTAAACGGAACAGTTATTAAAATGAGTTAGTCAGAGCACATACTTTTACCTATCACATAATAGACACCAAGTCACCTAAGGTATATAGTATAGCGTGGTTTCTATTGGAGTGTGGCTGTTGTTATTTTTCAACAAATGTTTAACTTGTCATTTATACATTATTCCCTTATGAAAAATAAGTATACTTCAAGTTCATTTTATTAAGTATACTTTAGTAAAAGTGTATACTTTGTGTAGTAAATACTAATATCAATATACTAGAAGTATACTTGTAAGTGTACTGTTTCAATACTACTTGGGACTAAATTGGCCCACTTTTTAGTGTATAAAAGTATACTTTTAAGTATACTTTAAGTGTAACTGAGTACACCGCTAGTTTACACCCAAATTTTACATTTATACTGCAAATATACTACAAGTGAACGTATAGGTATAGTGGTAGTTACTACTCAAATACTTTTTGTTTATGAAAGTACAATTTGAAGTATACTCTCAGTAAACTACTAACTTAGTTTAGTAGTTTAATGCTGTTACTTGTAAGTTTTCTTTTAAGTGAACATAGCATCATACTTAAACAGTTTACTTTTTTGCATATATGCTACTACTACTCCTATTTAGGTATTACATTTTATAGTTGAAATATAGGCTACCTTTAACTCTTTCCATTATATTCTTCGTGCGTCCTTTTTTATCAACACACACAAAATAAACAACACATTTTTAACAAAAAGCTGAGAAAACCCCATTTTGGTCAAAGTCTACGCCCGGATCGGATTCAGAACGATGACCAAAACACAGATGGATTAGATCGAGTCTATCAAAACCCCCAAAGCTTCACCGTCGTTAACCCTTCCTGGGTCCACATTTCATTCAGTAACGTTAGACCATTTATATGCTGTTTACTGTTTGATTCGCATTGTTGTATTTATGTAAGCAATCTTCTATGGCCCTGTCACGCACTCGCGGTCTTCCCCTGAGTCGGCAATTTCGTGACGTAACGCCGCTTTGACTGTCGGGAAGAAGTCTGCTGTGGAGCTCGCCAGAGTTTGTATAAACTTGTCATAAAAACCGTAATGATAATTACACTTAAATATTTTCTTCAGCCATGTTAACAATTGTCCGTGAGCGAAATCTCCTCCCATCCGTTGTC